GAGAAACTACGCGCTCATTTCTGAATGTACATGTAGCCGCACGCCTCAATCCAAAATAGGCCAGGGGCTTTTCGGTAAAGAGACACACCGAACTGGAAACTATCAGTCCCAAATTCCGGATTTACAGAAACATTTCTATGATCCCTCCTTATTATGGCCTGTCTTACTGTAAAAATCCTCTGGGATCACAAATTATTAATGAGCTCGCGCAAAGAAATACAACCATTTGGTGGAATGCACGCATAGGATCTTGTCCTCCATCTTCTTTCTCTCCACTTTGAAGGAGGCGAGTGCGCTCTTTTCACCAGCATCATGGTCTGCTTCTCCTGGGGCATACTCACAGCTTTCATATGAGGAGGTCTGGGGAAGGAAATAATCACAAAAGGAACTAAGTTGGAGCAGAAATTGAGACCATTCTTTAAAAAACATATAGGGTCCTTGTACGCTCCTTATTTTTACTCCTTTTATTTCATAACTAAACTGTTAGTGTCTATTGCTTTTCATCCATTTTCATGTCAGAAAATGAACTATGATAAGAGGATCCCTTAGACACTGCTGGCGCATTACTTCTGAAAGCATTTGTGATTGTACTCTTTGTTAAAAATATTTTCCAGACATCCCTTTTGAGTTTAGTGAATCCAAAAGTGACATTTTTAAAAACTTAAAATTGTCTTTCCCTTTTCCTAACAGGTGAGGGTGCTGTTTTACAGTAATATTTCAAAGTCAGTCAGGGAAGACCACAAACCTAAAATATCTATGGACCAACAGCTCCTGCAGATATCAATGATTGATCCCGAAAGTGGGGGCAGAAATATTTCAACAGTGTGTACAAGTCTGTTGAGTTGGATACAAATCAAAAATTTTAGATGGTGACTGGAAATACTGTTAAGCGTTTACAACGTGGTCCCTTTTTGTGTTTTGGTTCAATATTTGTGAAAATCAAAGTGGATCCTTCTTTAAATAAGAGCTCTTAACACTCAAATTTTTCTCCATATTCACTGCTCACCTTCAAAAGCCTGAACAAATCCCCAAATTGTATGCGATTTTAAACTTTATTTTTGAAATGTTTATGAAACGCAGTTGTCAGTGCTCTATCAGATAAAACTTGAGAAAATGTTAAATTTGTTTTTCAAAATATTTACTAATGAGGAAACCCTCTGTGATTTATGGTGTAAAAACCTCCTTTAGCCTTGGTACATGTACCTCAACCTTACTGGTTGCTCTCATTCTCAAGGGAAAATTTAATTGAAAAAAGCAGATTGTGTGTCACTTATCGACCCCCAGAACTGAAGGGTCCGTACACTTCCATACAAACTTCAACTCATTCAACTGTAAACTAAGTCAATCATGTTTCTTTGAAAATTCCATGAACAGAATGTATTTTCATAATTCCGTGCATATCTTAAGCTTTTGCATTTGGACAATTAGGCTAAACAAAAAATTAGCTGTGTTTACAGTTTCTGGTTACCCAACCCAACCTTGAAAATCACATGGAACCTGTAACAAGGGTTTAATAAGTGGTCAAGCAGAATTCTGCCCTCTGTTGACCTCATCACATCTCATTACAGTACATGCATTATAGTGACATTGCATTCATGTCTTTTAGAGAGAGTTTACAGCATGGTGTAGAGCACGTACATGTAGACCTAGCACACAACGTAGATTGAGTTGAAATCTGTCTCCATTGTCTCTGTTTGAGTCAGTCTAAGACCCACAACTATTACAGAACCTATATCTTCTTATTTGACAAATCAATAAAATATAAAAACTTATGGTGCCTTGCCTCGAGCCTAATTTTGTGTACATCGTCCTGTACATTGTAATGTTTAAATTTGTTTTGCATGAGATGGAAACCTCTTGCATGTTTGTATTTCAAGAACCAGCTGCTTTACTACTCAATCACAGTGCTGATAAGTAATATCGACGTGAACATGAAAAGTATTAATCTGACACTGACTTAGAACCGGTTACAAATATATACAGGCCCCCCCCCAAAAAAAATACACACCGTTATCCGACCCTAATTTCTTAGCCTATAAAAATTTAGAGTAAAAAAAAAATTTCACCCACCCAATTTATTTTTCTGTGTAATAGGAAACACACCTAATTTTTTGGTTGGCCTTAGCTAGACCTTTAAAACATACCAAAGAGCATTCCAAACCTTGTCATGTCCTGTTTTCCAATTTTGCACTTGCCGCAGCACCACAGACATAAACGCACAGACCACCGGTCTTACGCGGTAAAATAACATAAAAAATCAACGAGGGGGCTTCGGCCAAGTCCTGGTAGCCAAGTTCTCATTGTTCGAGTCCGAGTCCAGAAAGTCTAAGTTCAAGTCCGAGTCTTTGAAAATCCACTGATCTCCACAGCAACTGACAACAACTTAACACAGAAGTTACTAGTATATCAGGAACCAAGCATTTTATTGACTTTCGTGTCAGGCTTAATACATGTAGGCTAACATACAGTTTGTAAGTTGTACAAAAGTGTACATGCAATGTTAGATTTCTGGAAATACCGGTACTTGCGTGTATATGCCAAAGTTTTTCAGTCTAGCAAGAAAAACTGGGATTTTGCCTTCTCATCTGAGGTTAATGATGCATCCAAGTGCATGGCCTTCCCTAATTACAAGCTCAGTTGTCAGTTGGCCTACAAGTGTAAATAAAGTGTACATGCAATGTTAGAATTCTGGAAATACATATACATGTACTTTTAATACATGTATGCTTAAGTGTGTCGAAACTAGCTTGGAAGATTTCTATTCATGCTGCAGCCATATGCCTGCCTTGAAGTTCAAGACGGTGAGACCGAGTTGACTTGGGACCAAGTTAACCTGCGGCGGTGTTGACTCGGCAGGAGCGAGTTGATTCAAGACCAAGTTGGTCTCAAATTTGGGATTTATATAAATAATTCTATGATCCCTCGTGATTATGGCAGGTCTTATTGTAAAAAATTTTTAAAAAGTGAGGTCACAAAATATTAATAAGGAGCTAGTGAGCAGACATACGACGCTTCAAAACTGTCTCCAAGTTTAAGACAATAATTCCACATTTTTATTTTAAAATGATTTGATTTGTGTTGTTTGAAATTACCAACCTATTTGCGTTATTTGGACAGTCAGTTTAGGCCTGTCTGGATGAATTCCTCCATCTGCCTAAATTGTGCCGATATTCGGGGGGGGGGGGAATGAGGCAAGGTGGAGGTGTAAGACTTGCCAGGCCAAAATAATTTGAAAAGTGAGGTGGGGGATAACGCTATGAGACACTATAAAAGGTCAATGTTCATGATATTGATGTACATATATATCTGCAGTATGTGTTGTACACATGCTGCATCTCTTATATACATCAGAAGGGCCTATCTGTGGCTTTTTATTGCTACGAAAAATTAGGGGGCTGTTTGGTGAAAGTTCATTCGATTTCTTCAAGTGATCTGGAGTGCCGAAAGAACTTTGGTGAAGGGCGTCAATGATTTGGTACTGTCAATCACACTCCAAAAGCTGCTCTCATTGGTTGTTCCAAGCTCCCACTCCCCGATCATAGGGTTTCAAGAATGGAAGGTGCCAAATTCAGTCTTTTTGGTCAATCACGCCGGTACCTCAAAAGCTAATAACTGATTAAGATTCTAGATTACAAGCGGCAAATAAGACATCAAAGGAAATGTGCCTCCATAAAAATACAACGCTCGTCGGTTACTTATCACTTGTTCTAAGACATCACTGAAATCAAATCTAGTCCTGTACGGTTTTCAACCACCATGCCTGTTTACACTCAAAAAAGGAGAAATTCTGGGAAGCCTGTGCCACTGTTTCCCTGCATAACATGTAGTAAAGAGGACGTTACATCTTGGCAGCATGCAGTGAAAAAGTGTCATTTACCAAATGCTAAAATGTACTAAAAGTGGACAAAATAAAAATTTTCAACAAGTTAATCACCCTCCTGGGGTTGGGTCCGAGTTGACTCAGGGTGGGTCCGAGTTGGTTGTAGGTCCGAGTTAGTATTGGGTCCAAGTTGGCATGGGTCCGAGTTGGCACGGGTTCGAGTTGGTTTGGGTCTGAGTTGACTCGAAACCCCTCCATGCACGTACATGTACCCAACGACTTGCTTGGGAGGGATAAACAATTTGTAAAATGTGTGCAAAATCTAAGTGGGCAATGGCCTACTAAAGTTGCTCACATCATTTTCACAGAAATGGGCCATGTGCATGTACTGTAGGCAAACCTAGTGTTGATCCTAGTCCTACTCCTAGGATTAGTCTCATGCATGGTCTTTTCCTTTCTCTATGGTCAAAGGACTACATGTACGCCTGAGAATTTTATTCCTGTAAAGGGTAAGTGTAAAGTACATGTAAGTGTGGAGTAATAAAAGCGAAATACATTGTACTTACTCCATACCACGTAGGTGTGCCAGCGATTCCTCAGAGATTTATTTCTTACGTGTTGTCTTGATGATACCATGGAGGAATAAAAACATGATGATACAGAAAGTCGCTAAATAAACGGATTAAAACGACCACCGTGCGCTCAGTATACACACGTGCACGTGTGCCAACGCACTCAAGTGTTCTGTAAAAAGGGTTTTCGACACAGCTCGAGTTTTGAGTAGTGACGTCATGCACGGAAGTGCCTCACCCTGGCCGCGCCGGCTGTCTCTGAGGCACAAAACTATGCACCCGGCCGCGTACCCAAACCACGCAGCTGAAAAATAAAACCTGCCTTTTGCTTTCACTGTACTCGATAAACCAGTAAACAGTTTTGCTGTAATCGATGCTTTACAATTGATTTTACGCTTACAATTAAAACTGCTAAACGAAAAGCATACTTTAGTAATAGGCCTTAGACTACTTTTTCTCAGCGGTAATTCAGTCCTGGCAGATGGATATTGAAGTTTAGCTCATGATGCGGCCACCACCAGGATTCGTTGCTGCAGTCGCCGCCCAAGGACACATGCATACGTATGCAAAGAGACATTCCAAGTCAGGAGCAGATCCAGGGGAGGGGATTTAAATGTTCTATTTTTATTCATTTTGATCGGCCTACATATTAAGGTTTCAAATCCCCTAAAAAGCTTAACCCCCGAAAGGGGTCCATGCATGTTCGGTTGAGAACAAAACAAAGATGATTTCAACCAAATAACCAACTCCCCCCTGGATTATCTCCTGGACCTAAACCCTGGGTGTTGATGTGCTTAACAACATTTGCTGAAATAAAAACAACCTTAGATTATTTTGCAAGGCTTACACGTCTTACAAATTTTTGAGTATATTCTCTTCTAAATGTTCATCAAAATTGCAATCTGGGTACTGTACATCATAATCAAAATAAATTTCTTTTCAATCACGATCCATCGCTGAGTGAATCTAGATGAAGGTTATCACCCTAGCAGACTTTGAAAATGCTAACAAGGCTGGGGAATACCAGTATTATTAGACGGGACAATAATAAAATCTGCAATCTGGAGGACTTCAAAAGCCCCAAAAGACAAAGCACCTCGGAATAAATTTAAAGTAAGGAACCTTCTTCCCATGCTTAGGTGTTTGCATAAAGCAAATGTTCAATAGTCTTGTCCCCCAAAACAAATAATAATTTTTTTCAGTTAAATTATCCTTGAAGGGAAATGCTTAAATTTAAAGATGCCACATGACTGTAAATTGAAAAATTATTAATTTGCCCTTGCGCAAAGACATTTTGGAGAACCCTTGCTTCCTTTCATCTGCAATTCATTCTACTGAGGGAGATTAGTAAGAGTGGTTCTTAGGATGGATTGACTCAGACAGGGAAAACTGTTAATTTTCAATTTTTCACTCACCACCCCATCAAATATCCAATCGCTAGTGCTAAAGTCACTTATTTCAACACTCCCTTTGAAATCCAAGTATAAATTCTTTGTACTTCCATCTATATTAACAACAGTGATAATGACATTATTGTGTCAAACAGAACAACAAATTCGCAAAGCAACATCAATATCAGGATAAATATAAAACTTTAAGTACACATGTAAGTATATGTAATGGAAATATTATTTTTTTTTCAATATGTTTTAGTTTCCTGTGTGTTGAGTATAACTTCTGTTTTATCATTTTGGTTTGTTATCTGTTGTACTCTAATGTAGCTTTACTCCTTATGAATTTGTGATACATTTCGTATATTTATAATTTGTTAATTGTATTGTATTTTACAGAATATTTCCTGCTGATTTTATTTGTGAAATGCATTGAGATTTTATGCAATTTATATCTATTAATGTAGTACATGATAAAAAATAAATTCTTATTATTACACGTATTGTTATTAATACTGGGTATATATGAGGATTAATACACCACCAAAAACAAAATCTTACAGCAAGACTTCAACAAATCAATGGTACAAAGTGTTGATTTCTGTGAATCCCTTTTGTAAACAATGAAATTCACCTACATTCAAAATGATCAGCGGCAGATCAAGCATTTACAAAAAAACAGTTTAATACAAAAATTTGAGGGGGTGTAAGCCATGTGTGCCCCTCTGCACCCACTGCTCATAATGCATGGGCTCATCATGCCACCAATACGGGCATTTCACAATAGTGGGCCTCCAAGACTTTGCGACCAATTACCAATCACAATGTGCATATTCAAACGTGCACTGGATCGACAGATTTCGTGCACCGTGATTGGCCAACGCATTGCAAAGTCTAGGCAGTGCACTATTGCAAAATGCCCATATTAAGTTGGATTGAATAAAGATACCGTTTCTGATATACATGTACTTGAGAAACTGCAAAATAAAGTACAACAAATATGAACAATTTAAATACTGATGTGAAACTCTGAATAAACAAGCATTTCCTTTTGGCACCAATGTAAAACTTAATTTCAGTAAATTTCCTAAAGTAAAATGTTGTATACATGAAGATAAATAGGCCAACAGCTTGTACGAGGAAATAAGAGCTTTTCTTGAATACAATGCCATTAAAATGTTCAATGCAGTACACAAGTTTTAAAAAGTAAGGCAAACTAAAAGAAGAGAAATGTCACCAAGCTGAGGTGAAATTTCACACATCTGTTCTATTAAAATAGTATTGTCATACTGTATGTAAACAAGTATTTTCTTACATTAGCTGCACTGGACTAGAATTTCCAGAATTCCTTCTAACATCATTGGGCATGGATGGCGACATATACATTGCCGCCAATTAAAACTTTACAGCAATTAAACCTAAATGTACTGATAAAAAGTGATTATTGTAAATGCGTCATGTTGTTTGTTTAAAAGCAATTACATGTAACTTCATTTATACACAACTACATGTAATAATGTTGGTAGAGATAATGTGACTAGCCTGAGGCTCAGGAAAGACAGTCTGTGCATGAGACATCTCAATACAGTGGAATGCTGCTTTATGAGCCCTGAGCTGGACAAAGAGAGGGTGCAATTTTCTCCTTTGGAATGGAATCTCCTTTGGATGGAACTGAACTTTGCTGATACATGAATGACTGTGAAAAGCACATGCTACAGTCATATCGCTACCAGCAAAATGAACACTCCTGACCAACATGGCTCTGTTCAACCAATGAGGGGGTGCTTCTGCTCAAGGCAGATAATGAACACCGTTAAACTGAACATTTTGGAAATACTGAACATCCCCCTTGGCTAATTTTCTATGCACTTTTACTAAATATTGCACATTCGTTTTAAATAAAAGATACATATTTGGAACTGATGATAACTCAAAGTTTAGGAATATCGCACTCATAATGGAACTACAACCAACTTGTGGCACCGTCTGTATCGTTCGTGGGTAGCATCCATCGCATGTAATGTGCATGTGTCCAGGCAGCCACGTACATGCAGACTGGCTGCCGAGTACATATATGCACAAATGCTATGCAATGAGGCAACTCAGGTATGGATAACTGTGTATGATAATCCCTGCAAAGCCGGGAAATTTGAACTAAAAAACCACGAAAACAGAAAAGAAATGCACAGGTAGAAACTGGCATTTGTTACACGACTTGCAGAAATCATTGATAACTATCATGATAGTTTTCATCATTTTAAAAAATGCTTACCTGACATTACGTTGCCAACCTCTGACATGTAAATAATTACGCCTTCAGTGCTACTGTATTTGAATGGTTTCCGGCACGGCCCATTTATTAATAGTGCCATTTTACTAACAGGAACCAGTGTAACCCTTCCCACATGTCACATACAAGCGACAACTCAAGGAAAACTTGATTGCGTTGCAACTCTACTTCCAGTGGGGACTACCCGAAAAGTGAAACATGAAAGGAGATTATTAAACAATTTTTTCAAATGGGGAAATTTCTCTGTTTTCACTTTTTGAGTGAAGGTTTTGGCCCAAAATCCTTTTAGCAAAACATTTTGTAGGGTGGGTTGGTTTGAATATGGATGGGAGTTCATAACAGGTGCGTGCATCTGTGACTGAAAGTCACCGTACCAAACAACTGCTACACCGAACATATTGTGTGCACACTGTTATGTTCATTATAGCAGCATTCCAGTTGTAAAATACGCTATGTACAAAAACAGTTTAGAAGATTTACTTAAAAATACAAAACCCTTGTCATGCACAAGTTATATATTGTGTAGATGTGCATATTTTAAAGGTGAATAAACTTGGACACACACATAAGATGCTGGAGTTGTCTGAATCTAATTTTTGAATGAAGTCATACTTAATCCACCATCAAATGCTGGAGTTCTCAGTAACAAGGTCTAGTGATGGACGAGTGGATTGTAAACAACATGACCCACAATTCTTTCTTCATCCTGTGTAAACAGGAAATACAAAAAAAAAATTTACTGTACGTTTCTTGAGATGATTGGATAATGTGTTATTTTCCTTGTTGCTCAATATATCTTTACTCACCCTTTGGTCAATATGGTAATGATCTTCATCTCCAGTGACTACAAAAGGTCTAACGAAATCATGTCGGCCCTGCAAACCCTGTGATTTAAAAAGGAAAAGTTTCCTTATCATTTTATGATGAACACAGCTTGAATTGCTAACTTCACTTGATGAGTTGTACACTAGTGCATTACAAGCAATCTTTCACCTCCATTAACTTGTGACTGCTAGTTATCAAACTTGGTCGTTTGCTATAAATGAAGAATGAGACAAAAAAGTACAGAGTGAATATCATCTTCGTTGGTTTCTAGACTGTTGTCCAGTCTGTTCTGGTTTGCTGGAATAGAAAGTAGCATAATCTATCCATACAAATGAAGTATTACTGTAATATTACCTGCTGTAAGTAAGGTGAGTGACTCATGACGTTCTTTAGACGATTCATTCTGATCTCCTCATCTCCGAAGTTTGACATCTCATACCCATCATTGTGATAGTAAATATCACCATTGTATTCAGAAAGGCCATGATTAATTCTTGAAATGCCAGACTCTCTCCAGCTTTGTGTGGAGTAGTGGCGACCTGCTTCATAACGATGTCGCATTACCAAACAGAAACACAGAAGGAGACCTCCTACTGTGAGCAGTAAAAATGTACAGGCTACAATGATGAGAATGATTGCAAGAGTTGACAGATTACCTGCAATAAAAGAAGATGGAAGAAAGTAAAAAAATATGAGTGAATGGCATTTGAATATGACCAGTTATATTGCTTCCATTGCCTGGCATGACTTCTGACCAGGTATCAGTTGTAATCATGCACACATTATAGTTGATGCATATATACACACAATCTAAGATTTCTTACCACTGGCTGGAGGTTCTGTTGTCGTTTCCGTTGTCTCTGATGGAATATCAGTGGATACCTTAATTGCTTGGTTACAACGTTCACCCGTGAAGGATGTCGCACAGCTGTCAGAAAAGAACCAATACAAAAATTGTTTGTTTTGGTTGTAGCACGAACATTTGTGGCAAAAATTTGTAGATTGGCTTTTTAACCACTTCCAGTCTGGGGCTCCGGTACCGGAGGCATAGGCCTTATATTTGTGGCTGGGGTCTCCGAAATTGGAACTTTACTAAAAAAAAAAAAAAAAGTTGCTGGGCATTTCTTAAACAGTTTGGTGCTGTCAGTTAAAAAGTTAAGCCATCATTGGAGGTAAATAAATTGGTCTTAGGCAATAATGGGTTGCTGAAAAACGAAAATATGAAAAAACGGCACGGCGGTGCATATAATGGTTAAAAAAAGCACCCGGCAGCAAGTGGTTAATGAATTATGAAAGAGCCCAGATTCCAATATTTACTTTAAGAATCTGGCATGAGGAGTGATGCAAAATTCAGCGTGGTTGAAGGTTACGCCATTTAAATGTCAACTTTATCCTGACCTCTACTTTTAAATTGAAGTAGGGTTGCAGGTTAGTTAAGCATCTTCTGGATTTTTTAGTCTGTCTTTGTTTTCTGTTACCTGCAGGTGTAGCTGAACATAGCCGGGTAGTATCCAGACCTAACACAGGATGTTGCACCATTCCCACAATAGTCTGGTGGACAATCTTGAGTTGTACTTATGCCTTAAAGTGAAATATCAAGAAAACTGTAGTTCTTCTTTAGAATTATAATCTTCTGAAATAGCCCCTTCACAATAAACAAGGACTCTTGTAATACTGTCAGAAGATATTATTGTTGCCAAGTCCAAACAAACTTGGCTCCATTTCTATGGTGATAAAAGCAGTTTCTAATAAGAAATTTGACAACTGGATTTCTAACAGTAATCAATACATTTGGCTAATGACAAATCATTTGGAGCATTGATACTTTTAAAGTTGATTTACAGCAGTCTTCAATCACGTTAATTGGTGCTTGGGCTTGGAACATCATGAGAAATCATTGCTACTAGACTTACTAGAGACTTCTATTGCTGAGGAGTTGAGGAGAACTGTCACAGTTCCATTAGTAAGTTGGTCAGTATTTAAAACTCTCCTCACATCACTTTGTGGAGGAGTATCTGGGTATAGCAACACCATAGAAACAACTAGACTGCCATCTTGAATGCGGAAGCCATTTACAGATTGCACCCTGCTAGTTGATGGGTCTTTCTTCAGTTGCATCCAGACCTGCTCAAAGAAAACACGACTCTCAAGTAATGTTCATTCTAGAACGACTGAAACACTTTGGTAACTAAGCAATCTTATTGTACCTGGTTAAATGTAACACAATGCAAAAGCACAAAGGCACATCATAAATTCTCCGATAAAGAAGTTCCAAAACCATAACATCAGGCCCCATTTCATGTACCTGGTTTGGTTTTATAACACTAAACTGATAAATATACGGTATTGCAAATCTACTGGCCTTGTGTTATACCATATCTTTCAAAGTGAACATTTTTTTTTCAATTATGTTTACTATGGTAGTAATCTCAGGCTACAATATCATCATAGTAGTAACAAACTGCCAGCTTTAATCATGTACACGTGCTTTCCAAAAAATAAAAATGACAACAAAGACTTAAACTTGCCCCAAACAATCTATTTTTCTGCACATTGAAAAACAGAAACTTACTAGTTGTTCAAAGGTAGCCATTCTTGCTCTGAATGCAGAAGATGTTGGATTAATATACTCCAACCTGTACGTCTCATTCAATACTGTTATTTCTATTATAAGCGAGTTTGCACGTTGGTCTGTCAAACAAAATCAGAAAAAAAAAAGAGCAATTGCATGCAATTTTCCTGGGAGAACTGATTGGCAGCTTTGTTACATTCAAAATTTTTTTAAAAAGGTCTGTGTATATTATATTAAAATCATGTCAATTCATTAACAAGTTTACACTCTTGACCCTACCCTCACAAGCAGTTGTATTCATGAAAAAGCCATCATGTATACGACATTGGCATGTGAAATTGCTGTTAGCTGGTAGACAGTAACGTCCTGTTGAGCTATCTAAGCACTGGTCCCCATTCAAACACACATTCTTATCTGGAGACAAAAAGCGATAGTAGTCATTTGAAGTAGAAAACTGCCAGCAGTCATCTTCTTTCTCCGTGCTTTTGAACAAGTCTGAAAAAACATTAGTGCAGACTAGCACAAAAAGTATGGCTTAACTTACACAATCAATTTAGTTGGAGTATAAGGCCGAGTTCGGACAGCTTGTTCTTGTATTTTCACAAACTGCTCAATTTGTTGTTCATTAGTCAGCCGCTCGAACACCAGGAACGTACAACCGGTTATTGTTGGTTGTTGCATGCATCATGGCGGCATCCATGCACGTTCTTTCAGAGTGAACTTTGGAAAGCTGGGCTGAATTCTTTTCTATTTAAAAAGGAACATTCATTTCTTTGCTATGGAAAATGATTATTGTTAATTTTGTAAATTTCACATTGTCTCCGGCTTTGTGAGCCATCTCGATATTTTTTGTGGATGTTCAAAAATCAAAATCTCATGAGTTTTCCTGTGTGTTCCTGTAAAACCCTAACAAGGAGTTGGTGCATGATCCTATTCCGGGAACAGTGTTCTTGAGTCGTGTTCCCGCCGTTTGAGCGTGAGAACAAGAGATCCGTTTCACGAACAGGCCGCCCGAACTCGACCTAAAAGTTGCACTGAATACTGTGAAAATGAATTATTTGATGTACTCATTGTGTTTGATTAAAGCTCGTCATTGCTGTGTTATATGAGATACATGTACTTACAACTCTGTTTCAGAAGGTAATGAAAAACTCGTTTGGCTACGAGAGAACTTAAAGATTTTTATCTGTTTCTGACTAGGAAAAGACAAAAACATTTTCAAAATAGTGGGCGGAATACTTCAACAACTGTTTAAAGACTGCTGTAATAATGAAAAGAAACAGCTGTTGTAAAAAGCTGTTATCATCCAAGAAATTTAATAGAATTAAACACCGTGTAGCAATGTAACATTTCATGAAATCGAATGCAAGTATAATGCGCAGCTACAGTACTGCACAAATTTGTAGCACAAGGCACACGGTTCAAAGTTATGCCACGTTTTATGACATTGGCTGCAGTTGATCTAGGGAAGACATACTCAACCTGAAAATGCACACACAATTTTTTTAGGCCTATTTTAAAAAGCATTCCATACAACTGTGATGTGTCAGGTACTAAAAGAAAGCTTTACCTTGACAATACATTCCTGACCAAGTCAGCGGGCAAACACACTCACAATATTCTCCATCAAAAATGCCTCCATTCATGCAGTTAGATTGTGACAGTGGGCAGCCTACATTGAAGAAAATGTATCGGTACTTATGGACTTTGGATTTTTTTATTTTTCACTTGACTTTTGCGAATGAAGGTGCTGGCTCAAAATCCTAATGAAGCAACATTTGCAATTGGGCAAGCTGTGTTTGCCACATGTTTGAAGTGGTTGGCGGCAGGGAACAAGTGCATACCAAAATCTAAAAAACACTAACAGCCGCTACAACAAAAATTTGTTCATTATAGCAAAACAGTACAGTAGTCTTGATAGAGGTATAACAAATAAAGTTGTCCAAATTGAACATACATGTATCTTCATCTGGGCAATACCTGTGCTAGTTGGTCTTCCTGTGATCGTTGGTGTCTCTTCTGTCGTTGATTTCCCTGTGGAGGTAGGTATCCCTGTGGAGGTAGGCGTCTGTGTGGTAATAGGTGTCTCTGTGATAGCTGGGGGCTCTGTCCCTGTGGTGGTAGGTGTCTGTCTGGTGGTTGATGTCCCTGGGGTGGTAGGTGTCTCTGTAGAGGTAGGTGTCTGTGTGGTGGTTGGTATCTCTGTGGAGGTTGGTGTCTCTGTGGAAGCTGGCAGCTCTGTGGTGGTTGACAGCTCTGAGGTGAAATTGAAACTTGTTGTCTTAACTATATTTCCAGTAGTGTGAGGTATGTCGATTTTGGAAAAAAAAATGAATATTCAAAATGAAAATGCAAAACAATTTTCTCTAAATTATCCAGTTTTCAAACTGCTAATGTGCTGTTTTCAACACTTTCAGGTAATCAAAAGGCTTTATCTAATTTTTATAAGAAAACATCTATGACACACCAGGATACATAATAAGGTTAATAGGCTTAAAGTAATATATGCCTGTTAATATGTTAATATGCTTGTCCCTTTGTGATCGAGAAAGTCCCAGCTGACAGGCCTCCATGTTTTTTCCAGTAAACTTTTTAGCACTGCAGGGTTTGCCATAAGGACTGGATGCTTACACCAATATTTATGTGCACATGGCTAAGAGATGTATGTTGGCATAGTGGTTCTTTCCTCGCCTTCAATCTCAGCGGTCCAGGTTCGATTCCCACCTCAGTCCACATGTGGATTGGGTTTTCAGTTACAACCTGATTCAGTGGGTTTTACCCAGAATATTCCTTTGGGGTTTTCCTCCCACCTTTAAAACCGTAATTGCTTTTTATTGTCTCCTCTTTACAGGTTTCTTCAGGCTTGCGAGGTACAGCGCCTAGGGCACTGTTCAGGAATCCTTGGTGCCATTACCAGAAATAAACAATAAAAATTAACAACAATAAAAGGGCTTATGCCTGTGTGAAAACAAACAATTAGGAAATGAGCACACAGTGGCCAAGATATCACACCTCTTAATAACCTTGATCATTTACACATATTGCTTATCATGTCAACAACTAAGACTTGCATACACAGATCTTTGGAGGTTTAAAGAATTTGAAAAGGGAATACACATTCATAAATTCCTGGGACAGTTTCTATCCCTATTGGTCAAAACGTATCACGTGACAGTGTATTAACATTTGATAAAGCCCGCTGAGAAGTGATAATGCCTGCTGCGTAAATCATGCACTGGCACATGGATACGACACAGTTTAATGGGTTCTGATTGGTCAGGAGTCTGTGTGTACACGATGCACCATGCTCATGCCAGGTTCATTGAAGGGGATTCTATTGGACAATTTTCAAAAGGAATATACCATAAAATGGACGGGGCTGTTTGGGAAATGAAAGTGAAATTTCAGAACAAAATTGTTGGAAATCCATCACACTTTGACTTCTTTTGACTCTCTGAATTAAAAAGTATTGCTCAGCAGAACGAACGCTGATAATGCCCTTGACAGTGGCTCGGGCACTGGTTGTGTCCATTCTCCTCTCAGTGTAAAACGCATGCTTAAGACCGGCCAAGCACACACTTATTCCTTATTAAAGAACACCTACATGTATGTGGTCAAATTGTGCTATCAGACCAGGATTAGAATTTCTAACACATTGAAATAGGACCAGTGTCCCAGTATGTGGGATAAACGTGGTGAAGTCTCATACACTAACATCTGTCATTTCATAAAGTAGTAAAAAAAGGTTTGCTAAAAATCAGAAAAAAAATCTTCTTGATGAAAAATAATACAGTTGCTCTTATTCTTTTGCTACAGGAAATGTCATTTAATTAACAAATTGGACTATGCAAGGGTATTTTTTTCTAATTTTCAATTCATGCCAGGACAGAATGGACTCAGACCAACTGCTAAACAGTTTGAATAAAAGCTAAAGGAAGCAACTTCACAAAGTTTTACTTAAATGTACTGAAGGTCAAAAAAGCCATGTCATAACACATAATGTCTGTAAAATTCATTTCTCACATTTGTGGCTAATTACTCAGACAGACTAAAACAAAGTTTCTTTAATATGTTAAACACAAGAATATGTAAGCTACAAGTATGACAGCAAATGCACTGCTTTTATCACCACAAGTTAATTTGTTTATCTATTGAAACTTGAAGGTTGCATACAAACGTAACTTCCATAACGATTGAATTGCCTATAGAGGAAGTGTCCGAGTGAAACAGCCCAACTGTATGTGTTCAAACAAACCAACTTGCTTGGGGTTTTTTCCTCCCACCTCTAGCTACAACTGTAACTTCTTCTCATTGTCTCCTCTCTACAGCTTTCTTCAGGTTTACATGCTTCAGAGAATAAGGGGCATTTAAGGAATCTTTTCTTTCATTACCAGAAAGACTTCACAAAAATAATAAAACTTACCAATAATCCATATGTGTGACACACAATCACATATGTGTGACACACAATGTACTGATACTAAATACTGCCAAGAAGAGTTCATCACGACACGTGGTTAACTTATAACACTGTCAACAAAATATTACAATCTCTTGGAAAATGAACTTTATTTATCGTGAGCCATTTGGTTACCACTTGAAAGATTACAGAACACAGCAATATCCCGGACAAAATGTCATGTTCTTTTATTACATGGTACCATAATTTAGTAAAAATAATAAAACGCATCCTGTGACAAAGGGTTCTTATTTTTTCTGTATTTCTTAAGATTAGGTCATGGTTGTTGTATTGCATGTATTTGTTTGCCACTGGGGCACTCACATGGAATCCTCCACTAGATATATTCATAATAACTGAAAGTTGTCAGAAATGAAAACATAAATACCCACCTTCAGTCGGGCATATTGTGTTGGAGGGTGTTCCCTCTGTTGTGGGTGGTCCTGTGGTGGGGGGTGGCTCTGTGGTAACTGGGGGTTTGTCTGTGATGGCTGTTGTCTCCATGGTGGTTGATGTGCCTGTGTTTGTTATTTCTGTAGTGGTTGTCTCCTCTGTGATGGATGTTGTCTCCCTGGTGGTTGGTGTGCCTGTGTTTGTCATCTCAGTTGTGGTGGTTGTGTCCTCTGTGATGGATGTTGTCTCCATGGTGGTTGATGTGCCTGTT